GCTATTTCTACTCTTGGAGGTCTCCCAGTGGGGGTGGGATTCAGGTCTGGAATGGGAAGTAGCCCAGAGACATTACCCACTTGCTCAGAACCCACAAGGGGCCTATTATTCTGATCAACACTTCTGGAGTTGCCTGGAGAAACACTAGGTCTGAGGTTTGTTTGGGGTTCAAGATTTCAATCCCAATTTCCCCCAGGCACGCCTTTCTCCTCTTTCTTTGAACCCTAACTTCCCCACCCATAAAATGAGGTGGATGACACAGGGAACTCAAGCTCCATTTAACTTAATTGTTTAATTCAATTTGTATTCGTATTTTTTGGTGGTGTGGGAGATGGAGTCCAGGGCCTTGAAGACTCCAGGGAAGCACTCTACAATGGAGCCAGGTTCCCTGGAGTTCTTCAAGATGGATCAGTGGGAGCATGAAGTCAACTCAGTGAAAGAGTTTCTTAGCTGGAGGGGCTGCTGTGAGCTGATGGCCTGTGACAGATGTGAAGTCCCTGGATGGCATCCAGTGTCCAGCAGGTGGCCACTGGCCGCTGCTGGGCTTGGGAGGGAGCATGTGGGGAGCACACTTGTAGCCAGAGCTGCCAGAGCCTTCAATCAGCCTTTGCCAGGTTCAGGGTCAAAACTGTCCAGATGCTGCCTGGAGGGCCCCTTTCAAAGCCCAGCACATGTATCCTCCTCAGCCCAAGTGCCCAGGTTGGGACAGGAGGGCCAGAGCATAGGCTATAGTCCATACTGCCATTTAACACATAGAGAAACCAGATTTATTGGAACAGTCCTGTAATCCCAGTATGAGGGAGACAGGAGCAGGATTTCTGTAAGTTTAAGGCCAGCCTGGTCTACATAGTAAGTTCCAGGCCAGCCAGGGATACACTGTGAGATCCTATCTCAAAAGACAAACAAACCAACCCAAAACACAGATGGGGAAACGGAGACCTGAGAGAGGAAGGCGGGTGCTTGTAGCTCACCAGAGACACAAACCCAAGCCTCTTGAGTCCCAGTCCCAGCTCTTTCCACAATAAACAGAACCGTGCTGCGCAGCTATAGAATACATGCCCCTAGTATCAGGCACAAAGTAGTTGAGGTGGCTACACCCCTCTTCTCCCCTAGTGTGGAGCACAGTGCCCTCACACCACTGCTTTACAACAGCATTGCTCAGGGTGGGACAGGGCCTTAGCACGTTTTCAAGTCTCAGCCAGGCCTGTGGGCTGCCTTCAACAAAGCTCCACTAACACTGGCTTAAACCTCAAGGCTCCCATCTTTACCTAACAAGTATACTAGGGTGCACAGCCAGCATTGATTCAGTAGCTCAGAAAACCATCCTTCCATCTGTCAAATTCAGTGTTGTTCTCTCTGTCAAAATCATTGCACCAACCTATCATTTACTCTGTCAAACCCATAGTCACAAAGTGGCTGCCACTGGCCAAACATCAAGTCCTCTATTCACAAGATGGGGCTGAAGCAAGGAGTAATTTCCTTCACTACTCTGTCTTTTATTAGGGAAGAAAGTCTTTCCCAGGAACACCTCAGGAGAATTCCCATTTCACCTCTTTGGGAAAAACCTAGGCTTCAAGCCCACCTCTAGATTAGTCGCTGGCCAAGAGGGTGAGATTTTCTGTTGTCTTGGAACAGCCATGATTCTTCCATAGGACGGGGCACAGGGCACATGGTTGTCTGGACAAAGCAAAGTTCTGCTTTCAAGGAAGATGAAATGGCTGTCAGGTGGGCATCAGCAGGGCTAGTCCTACAACGAACTTTAACCTCTTTACATATGGCACTGGCTGCTAAAATGGGGTCCAGGGTCAAGTTCACTCTGGAACCTCTGGCCACAGACCAGGAATTCTTCTTTCAGAAGAGTCAGAGTGGACTTTCCAGAAGAGGGACACTTGTTCAGAGGCTTTGAGAAGTGAAGAGGAGTTCTAAGAGAACTCACAGAGAAGAGAGGAGGCATGTCAGGCCAAGCCAAGTAAAGACACTGGGGTGGGATGGAAGGTCAGGTACAGGGAGGAAGAGAGTAAAGGGGCAGGAAGTCGTGGCAAGAGCTTCCTTCATGGGCAGAGCAGGGGCTGGGTGTGCTCTGGGCACAGAGGGTGGGTAAATGGGGAAGTCAGGGTAGGGAGACCACCTGGAAGTGTCTGCAGAGGCTGGGGAGAAAGATGCAGGGGAGAACATAGGAAGGCAGCTTCGTGTCCCGGTTGTCCCTCTTGCCCTTCTGCTGTCTCTGATGTCTGCAGCCACAGCCAGCTATGTTTGGAAGAGCCCGGAAGTGTTGGGAAAAGACTCTTGTTTTCTGGGGCTCCATAGAGCAAGTGTCAGGGATGCTGTAGGGTCTAAACCAAAGAGCTCCTCCAAGGGGGCCTCTCTTTGTGGTGTGTGCACGTGCGTGTGTGTGTGTGTGTGTGTGTGTGTGTGTGTGTGTGACCTTCCAAGGACTGGCCCGGCTTTGCCTGTGCTTTCTGGCCCGATATTTATGAAAATAGACAACTCCTAGTCACCTGGGCTCATCTTCAGATGAGGCTGACAGGTTGACAGCTGGGCCACACTCCCAGGACTCTGATTCCCAAGGGCTGAGGTGGGGCTTAGGCACCCATACTTTCTGATCAGTACTTGATGTGCATATTAAGTAGCTGGGCCATCTCAGTGTGGTGTGCTCACGTGGAACAATGTGTGCACAAGTCACATGTGAAGGACTTTAGGAACTCTTGGGGGGCCCACTGCACCATGCAAGCACTCAGCTGGGGAGACATGAGGGACCTATCTCCTGTCCCATACTGTGGTCCTGGCATGCCCCTGCAGACTGCAGCTTCCCAAAGAGAACCGTTTTTCTGACTTCCATTATTGTGGGTAGTTGTGTCTGTTCTGGAACTTGATAAAAGCATCATCATGGAATGTATATACACATGAACCATGCACATAACTTCCTGTCATCTGTGGCTCAGTATTGTTTTGATTCATCCTTGTATACGGCTGTGTGTTTTCATGGGTGTACACTGTCCATCCTGTGACTGTCATCCTGGGACTGTCATCCAGTGTATGTCACCCCATGCATTCCAGTTGCATTCATATCAATGGTGCTGCTATGAATATTCTAGCCCCTGCTTGTTGGCACAGATGTCCCTTGTTCTTTGGAACACACCCAGAAGGGGATCATCAGGACATAGGACATGTGTGTGTTCAGTGTTAGCAAATGCCATTGGTTTTCTAAAGTGGTTTTGCCATTTTCTACTTCTCCTGATATTGGGGAGGTACTGGTGACCCCACGCCCTCCCTGGTGACCCTATGTCCTTCCTCCCCAGTAACCTTACATCCTCCCTGCCTCCTGCATTTTCAGTCATTTTCACATAGGGTGTGTGTGTGTGTGTGTTGGGAGGAGTTGTGTTGCTTTGAATTTGAATTTCCCCAAACACTAATGACATGAATGCCTTTTGGCATTTTGGCTCTGGACCATTTGGATGTGCTCTCTGAGAAGTGCCACACTGTCTCCTGGGTACTGGCTAGCTAGAGCCACAAGAACAACACAGGGCAGGGCCCAGGCTCCAAGGAAACAGATGTAACTCCTCCTTTCCCTGAGGATGACAGGCTTGCTCTCTCATGTGCCTGGTGTGTTGTGACACCACTGGCATCCACTTGGTAGAGCAAGTCACGTGGGCTTGGTCCTAATATCACAGGGAAAGGAAGACACATCTGTCTCCAGGGAAATGGGTGCATATTTCCTGAACCACCCAGAGCAGAACCCTGGCATTTGGGGGTAGTTTTTAAAGACCTCAGGTGATTCAGATGCTCAGATAAGGCTGAGAACCATTGAAGTCATGCTGCAAGCCAGCCAGCAAACATGACAGGCTGGACAGACTCTATTTCCTTCCATGAAAGGGTTTCACTTAGCCTGCTCTTTTCTCTTTGAGGCATTTTTATCTGTTAAGAAGGTCCCCCTAATGAAACTGTTTAATAACTGGTGTTAACTAGATCATGCAATCCCAAGCATAAGCCTGTGTCTGACTCATCTCCAGTGTTCTCAGCCCTCCCACTGTGAGGAGCAATGGGGAAATGCCAGGGTGGGCCACAGCTGTGACCTTACTGGAGGAATGCACATGCGGCTGTGTAGGCTCCAGAGGCAGGATTCAGGATGTGGGAATCTCTGTATCCCCAGGAGAGTGCCTGACCCAAAGTAGTTGCACAAAAAATAACCTCTCCAGTTAATGTATGCAGTCATACCTGTATAGATAAGGCTTCCTGGAAGGGAAAGATGAGTGGTAGGTGGGTGGATGTCTGCACAGATAGCTGTAGCAAAGGATGGGCAGGAAGAGGTGTGGATAAATGGTTGAGTGGGTGGGCAGATAAGAGGATGGTTGATGGACTGGTGGGTGGATAACTGGGTAGATGGGTGGATGGGTAATTGGCAGGTCAGATAGGCAGATGAATAGTGGTGTATGGGAGAATTGGGGTTAATGGTTGCATGTATGGACTGATCAATGGGTTGAAGATGGAAGGATGGGTAGGTGGTTGGATGCTTGGACACGTGGGCAATTGGGAGGATGGATGGGAGGATGGATGAATACAGTTGTGTATAGACTGATGGATGAGAGGATGAATAAGTGGATGATGGTTTGAGAGATGGGTGGACTGGTGGATAGATGAGTGGATAGCTGGCTGGTGGGCATTTAGATGGATCCCACAGCCTAATGAACAAATTTTAAAAAAAACCGTGTGGGCTGGGGAGATGGATCAGCAGTTAAGAAAGCTTGCTACTCTTGTAGAGGTCCTGAGTTCATTTCCCACCACCCAGACTAAGTAGTTTCCAACAGCTTATAACTTCAGCTCTGTGGGGATCTGACACCCTCTTCTGGTTTCTGAGGGCACCCACACTCACATGCACAAACTAATATGTACACACATATGCATATACATTAAAAATGTGTGATTGCACAGCCTTCCCTGTGGGTAAACATGGCTGTCTTGCAGAGCACGTAGTGACCAGGGTGGTCTGGGTCTCCTCACAGGGTTTTCTCACCCGCTGTGTCCTTGTCCCTGCTGAGTTTCTCTTCTGGAAGCTGGGGGAGAGGTGGCCGAGATGGCAACAGAGATCAGCGCTCGGGGCAGGCAGCGTGCCATTGGACATGAAGAGTATAGCCTGTACAGCAGCCTGAGCGAGGAGGAGCTGATCCAGATGGCCATTGAGCAAAGCCTGGCAGACAAGACGCGGGGCCCAGCCCCTACTGAAGCTGCGGTGTCCTCTCAAGCCAACCGCCAGCCAAGCCATTTCTACCCGTGGACCAGGTGAGTAAGGCAAGACTGATGAGGGGAGGTAGGCCTCTGGGCATCCACAAGCTGCAGATGCCCCAGGCTGTCCAAACCAAACAAAATTATCCTGGACCTTGTGACACTTTAATTGTCTGCATTTGTCATCTAAACACACTGAGCTCTGACAGTATCAGTCATTCTTTGGTGTTGGTGGGGATGGAATCCAGGAGGTCTGTGGATACAGAATTGTAATGACCAAGACCCTTACATAAATATCATTACATCTACATATAACCGACTCACGTCTTCTCTATAGATCTCTTATAATATTGAATCCAATGTGATTGCTATGCAAAAGTCCGTCATATTGTATCATTCAGGGAATAATGACAGGAGAAAGGTCTAGACATGCTCAGTATAGAACTCTGCTTTTCAAATATTTTTGACCTCAAGTTGGTTGACTCCATGAGTGTGGAACTTACACAAAAATATATAGGGTGGACTCTATATTCCTCCCTTCATTTAATTCTCTTAAGAACCTTCTACTGTCCCATTTTAAAGATGAGGAACTCGAAGCCCAAGACTGAATTACTGGCCCAGGGTCACACAGCTGATTGCTTGGAGTTGTCTAAATCCAAAACCCAGGTTGGGTTTACACTACTGCTCTATGCTTGAAAGCAAGGGAGTGGTGTACAGAGTGGGGCCAGTGCTTCCAGCCCTGCTGGGTAGTGTCCGGGAAAACACACCTGCAACACAAACATCATCTACCCCGAGTCCTCATTTTGCCCCCCTCCCTGCCTCAGTACCCTCTCAGCATCTTAGGCTTTCTAAGATTGCCATCTAAGTCAACCTGATGAGCTGTGTTCGTAATCCACAGTACGTCTCAGACATTTGGAATCACATAAAAAACAGAGAAACATGAAAAACTGTATAGCTTTGAAATTTTTATTTATATTTTAAATACTTTTTAAATTTTATGTGTATGAGTATTTTATCTGCATATATGTAAGTGTACCTGTGTTGTACAATGCCTGTGGAGGCCAGAAGAGGGCGTCAGATCCCCTGAAACAAGAGTTATGCATGGCTCTTGGCTGCCATGAGGGTGCTGGGAATTGAACCCAGGTCCTCTGGAAGAGCAGCCAGTGCTCGTAACCTTTGAGCCATTTATCCAGTCCTAAAAGATTTATTTTTGAGACAGAGCCTTGCTCAAGCTGGTCTAGAACTCACTATGTAACCCAGGCTGGCCTCAAACTCCCAATCTTTGGCCTCCTCAGTGCTGGGGTTAAGGCATACACCACTATGACCCACAATTTGCATATATTTTATTTCTAACAATCATCCCCATTCATCACCAATATAAAAAAATTGCACATGATGGGTGGGTAGGATGGCTCAATTGGTAAGGGTGCTTGCCACCAAGTCTGATGACCTGTGTTCAATCCCTAGAACTCACACAATTGATAGAGAACTGGCAAGTTATCCTCTGACCTCCACATGTGCACTGTGACACATGCGTGCCTACACACATATACACACACATAAAATAAATGAGTCAGTGTTAAAGTTTTTAAAATTACATATGGGGTTTCTAACTTTCTTGTCAAGCTTTTGAAATCATGTGTATTTCACACTCACAGCCTGGTCCCATCCACTGCATCCATATTCCAAGTACTCATTAGCCACAGGTGGCCAGGGCCACCATATTGGGCAGTGTGGATCTATGGGAAGCTTTCTTTATAGAGACAGTTGGAAAGACAATCAGCAATTGATTTTCAAGGACTTTTAGGACAGAAATATATAAATTGGAAAATGCTTTTGCTGCCCTGTTCCCTACCTCCAGCCAAGCTCATGTGTATTGGAGTTAGGTATAGATTAACTGCTCTAACAGGTGTATCCATGTGACTATGGGCCCTGGAGCATCACATCTCTGTGTCTTCAGACGCCAGTGAACCCCTCTGTAACCTTGACTTTGGGCAAGTCCCTCACCCTTTCAGAAAGCCCTGCTTCCTTATCTAACAACAATCTAAATTAATAAAAGTTTCCAAATGTTTAGTCACAACAGACAAGACTCCATGGTGGGATGGGGCCTCTCAGCCCTGTCCCCGGGGTGACACTCATGAGAATTTTACCTCAAGCAACTCTGTCCCTTACTTGGGCTAGTCCATCTCCATCTAGCTGGCTGGGCCAAGGACAGGGCACCCAGTGCTGGAGTCCTCTCTAAAGAGGTGGCAGGCAACCTCCTTGGGCAGCTGGAAGGAGGAAGATTAAGGTTCAGATTCCTAAGCTGGCCCCGAGGACATCCCATTGGGGCCCCAGAAGCCCTGTGCTGGGACCTAGCTCATGTAGTTCCTGTTCTGGTTGGTTCAGCTGCAGTCAGACCACAGGTTCCTCTTTCTCAGGAGGGACCCGATAGAAACAGGGCTTTCGATCTCCAGAGATAGGGTGACTGCAGGAGGCCAAACATCCGCTGGGCACCTGCAGCTTCCTCACCCCTCAGTTGCCCCTCCGGGGGGTGGTGGTCCTAGAACTGAGGACCTGGAACTCCAGACCTGCCCTCTCTGTGAGGTAAGGAGGTAGAGACACACAGTGGTGTTCACATTTGTCTGACCTCTTGGGAAAAAAGGACCCACTGGAAGTGAAACCACTTGCCCAGGGTAAGGCAGCTGTCATCAAAGATCTGGTTCTTTAAAAAAATATTTTATTTATTATTTTTATTTTTTAATGTATATGAGTGTATTGCCTGCATGTAAGTGCACCTGTGTTATGCAATGTCTGCAGAAGTCAGAAGAGGGAGTTGTGATCCCCTGGAACTACAGTATGGACGGACAGCTGTTAGCCACTGTGTGGGTGCTGGGAATTGAACTTGGGTCCTATGAAAGAATAGCTAGTGCTCTTAACTGCTTAGCCATCTCTCCAGTCCCTAAGATCTGACTTTTGAAGGTACATTGAACACCATTCTGGTTGTAGACTCCCATCCCACCCAGATTTAGAGCTGTGTGCTGTCTCTGTCCCTTACGCAGTGACAAAACACATGCTCAGCAGGACCAGGCAGTCTGTAGGCTGCCACATTCTGGCTTTGCTGATCCTGCACAGGGAGGCCTCTTCCTCTTCCTGCCCCCATCTTGAAGCCAGGTTTCAGCCTTGTTACATCACCCTTCATTTATAAGTCTAGGGTCCCCTCAGAATCATGACAAAGTCCCTGAGTTATAGAAAGCGTAGGACCCAAGAGCTCCGCTCACCTTTATGCCTAGATGTTACGATTTCCATCAAACAGACCCAGGATATCATATTGGTCCCAAGGGGCTCTTCTGGATCACAGATTAGATGTCACCTTTTCAGTGAAGCCTTCCCTAACCATTCCCAGGTCAAGCAGCCCATGTGTTTCTCTGGGAGCCTCGAGTCTTTCTTCTGCCCTACAAAGACCTGGGCCTGACTCTTGGGTATCCCAAATAGGCACCCATGAAGAAGTAAATAAAAGAAGAAATGCAGAAGCCATGAAAAGGGGGGTGGGCTTGGGGGGTTCATTTCTTTCCCATCATTTATTTACTGGCTGTGTCACCTGAGGCTGCCCCCTTCAAAAAAATGGCAATGACCAAGCTTTCTTATCTTGCAGTATGCTGTGTGCGTGTGTGCATGTGTGTGCGTGTGCATGCGTGTGTGCATGTGTGCTTGCGTGTGTGTGTGTGTGTGTGTGCGCACATACTCTGGGGATGGAACTCGGGCCCTTTGCTAGGCAAGCACACTATGAGGCAGCAAGTCAGATGAAACAGGTGTAGCACCTTTCCCACTTCCTGAAGCTTGCATTGGCCTCCCTCTGCTCCTCAGTGTGTCTCTGCGGCCCCAACCTCATGCCTGCCTTAGTTTCAAAGGTCAGCTTCTGTCTCGCTTTGGGAAGGTCTCTTGAGAGTGTCCCCAGCTATGCTGTGACTTCTTGGAGACAAGACATGGATGTGTTTACTCCTGTGTCTCAGTGCCTGCCAAAGAGCCTGAATCACTGCAGATACCCAAGGAATGTTTTTAGAAAAATAAACACACTTCAAATTCAATAAAATGCACTGGAGATGTAATTTGTCATTGTCTTGTGACAAAAATGACAGCTGATAGTGTGAAAGGTCCTAGAAAAGGAAACCAGAGCAGTGGCCCAAAGCAAACGCAAGATCCCTTTTCTTTTCATTTTTAATTTTTATTTTTAGTGTATGCGTGTATTGCGTGCATGTAGGTAAGTGCACCCATGTTGTGCAATGTCTGCAGAGGTCAGAAGAGGCTGTTGGATCTCCTGGGACTGGAGTTACAGACAGTTGTTAGCTGCCATGTGGGTACTGGGATTCGAACCTGGGTCTTCTAGAATAACAACCAGTGTTCTCAACCGCTGAGCCATTTCTCCAGCCCAACAAGATCTCTTTTTAAAGCCCTCACCAGGGGAAGCGACGAAACATAACAGTCATGAGGATCCTTTGCCAAGTTTGGCCCACCGAGAGTCCCTGAGAGACACACATAGCTTCTCATTTCATGGGGAAATGGGGTCCTTACACCCATGAAGTAGGGAGCCAGAGACTACCAAGGATGGACCAGCAGAGGGCACCCAGAGCTGGATCTTCAAGGCTTGTAAATGCCTGTATTTTATTAAAGCTTGCACTTTTTGGAAAACCATGGTGGAACACACGAACAGGGACTTACTTGGGCTGATGTGCATGGCTGCAGACAGTTCAAAACAAGCCACCACATTGCATGCAGCCTGGCACCTGGGCATGCCCTCTTTATGAGTGCAGCCTGAAGAGGGCACAGGCTAAGGTGCGCAGGGACACAACAGAGCAGGAGCAGTGGTGGTATTTGTAGAATCTCAGAGGGGAGCAGACAAGTCCCACCTGCATGTCTGCTAGGGCATGACCAGCAGTCACATCCCACCGGTGCAGGTTCCTCTCACCCTGATGACTCAGCCCAGTGGTTTGCTCTGTTGGGAATTCCCCTGCTCAGCCAGCAGAAGGGAAGTGGGGCCTCCAACCCTGGTGTGAAAGCATGAAAGCCGATTGGCTTCCCATTCAGCCTGAGACTCACAGCTTGGGCACTGTGAGCAACCACATGGCTGGACCCCCAAACCAAGTTCATGCACCCTAATTTCAGTGCTTCTAGAACGAGTCCTCCTGCCTTGATCTCAAGCCCTCCCTGTGGTTCTGTGGGTATGTGTCCTTGTCACGCATCTGTGCACTCTGACCATCTTAACGATTCACAAAAATACCTGCAACTCCCGGCCCTGGCACTGGGCTTAGAGTTGGCACACCTTTGTTGAATGGAACCCAGTGTGTCTGTTTCTTCATCTGACTTAATAGGAGTGGTGCACACCTGCCTCTATGGACAGACACGGGATAATGCTTGGAATAGCTGTGTGAACATTTGCCCTGCACAATAGAGACCTGTCACCCTAACCATGTCACTGTACCACATCAGCCTTAGCTCCTCATCCCACCTACCCTCCTTGCTGCTATTACTTTTCAGAGACCAGTCCTAGTTTTAGGTGAAGGCAGCAGTTTTTACCAGTGTGCATCATCCTGTTAAAACCTCTGGACAGTTGTAAGAGACGAGAGGAGGCCCAGGGCTTCATGGAAAGCCCAGGCCTTCTGACTGCAGCTACCTTCTGTGGGCCAGGGAAGGACAGCAGGGAGCACAGGGCCTGTGCAAAGGGGCTGAGTGGGCCAGGCTGGGAACTCCCCTGCCCAGGATGGTGGCTCTTGTATTTGTGTCATACCAAATTTCTCCAGCCACACATGTAGTGAGGAACCTCCATTCTGGTCTTGCCCCTACTTTGCAAATAAGGAGACTGAGGCATAAAGTAGGGGAAGAGCCTTGCTCAAAGACACAGAGCAGTTAGTGTGGAGACCTTGGAGTTGGAGGGAGGATGAAAAGGCAGGAGGGGGCCAGGCTTTGGAGGAGGGAAGGATGTTAAGAGCTGGTCTGACTCTTGGCTCTGCCCTCCTGCTGTCTGGGACCCTGGGCAGTTCCCTCTCTCAGGGCCCCGGTTTGCTCATCTGTAAAAGGCAGCAACATTGATGCCCACTTTGAGGCATACCGAATGAGGACTGGTGAATGAACGTAGGCAGGTGACCTGCACAGCCTGGAGGTGTCTGTCAGAGATGGTGACAGGAGGGGGTGGGGAAGGACGGTGGTGACTGGGAGGACAAAGGTAGTCAGGCTGGCAGCCCGTTTTGAACCAAAGCCCTCAGCCCCTTGTCACTTCTCTCCCCACTCACTCCTCTGCATCACTACCTAGCGTTGCTAAGGGGTCCACAGAGTCTGAGTCTCTGGGTTGTTCTGGAAGAACAGGATCCTTCTCAGGGTCTCCATTACAGCACTTGTACCCCACAGAGTGCCAGCCATGGAGTGATGTCCCCAGTCCCACAGACAGCCTGTATCTTTCACTGTCCAGGCAGAAAGGTGGGTACTACTGAAGTGTCTGGGGTACCAGGGCTGATCTGTCAAGAGACAAACAGGGGCCAAGTTTCCTCTTCCCGCTGAAGCCCCAGCTAAACCCTGAATGGAGTGACTGCAGCACCTCAGCTTTTCCAGTAGAGGGTAATTGACACTTAGCAAGGTGAAAACAAAGTGAATGGCTGACTCACGTTAGGTGCCCGCTGTGTCTGGCAGTCGGAAAATGTGTTTACCGGCTTTGCACCTCTGACTGAAACCTGTGAGAAATGACTTAAAGGAGTAAGGATTCATTTGAGCTCACTATTACAGAGGTTTCATGGTTAGCAACCGGGCCCTGAGGTGTTGCCGAATATCACAGAGGTGGGAGCAAGTGGCAGCAGAGGCTGCTCGCCTCAAAGGAGCCAGGAAGCAGAGAGAGAAAGGGGCCAATTATCTATTCCCTTCAACTGGATCCCATGTCCTATATTTCCATCATCTCCTTATAAAACCATTTGTCCTACTTTTATTTCTGTTGCTACAATAAAAATATCCTGGCAAAAATCAACTTGAGGGAGAAAAGCTTGTAAGTCCAGATTACAGTTCATCATTGCAGGGAAGTCACAGCATTAAGAGCCTGAAACATTGCATCCACAGTCAAGAGCCAAGAGAAATGAACACTGATGGCTTGTGCTCGGTGTTCCTCCACTCTTGGTTCAGGACCCCTTGCCTAAGGTGCCCCCCAACTGGACTCAGTCTCCCCACATCAATTAACTTAAAGAAATCCCCCATAGGCCAAGCCAATGTAGACAATCTCTCATTGAGTGTCTCTTCCCAGGTGATTCTAGGCTGTATCAAGTTGACAAAGCAAACCATCACACCATCCAATTACGAACCATCAATGAATTGAAAGCCACAGATGAGGCCAGCACCCTCAAGTTCCAATCACTTCCCCAAAGTCCCTCCCCTGAGCACTGCTGAATTGGGGATAAGCCTTCAACACATGCATCTTTGAGGGACACGACTCTCTGAACATAAGAGCTAAGCATTTCGCACTGTGTGCTGCTCAGGCCTCCCTGGCCCTGGAGACAGGGCTGCTTCCATCCTACCATATAGGTAGGAGAACTAGGGCACAGAGAGGATGAACCTGTATCCAGGTCACACAGCTAAGTAGCATCTGATTTACAACCTTCTGTTGTAACTTCTAGTCTGATGGTTCTCAAGAGGACTGTGAGGCAGGCACACACTATGGGGACCCAACAAGGTGGAGTAGAGGCCCATGTACTTTGCCTTTCCAGCCGGGCTCCTCTGTTCCTTTACTTGCCCATGAATCTCTTGTCCAGCCCCACCAGGACCCCACTGGCCTTTCATCCTGAAGCCTGCGCCAACCACTTCTCACATCCTCCAGGGTGAGGAATGTCACCTTGCTTCATATCTGTGCCCTTGTGGTTTGCTGGGGAGGGGGGCGGTGGGGGCGGGGGTGAGGTTAACCTCATTGTTGTCTTATATGGTCATTTAAATCTCCAAGGGCTTCCTCCAAGGGCCAAAAATAATCCAGAGACACAGCAGCTGTGTCCAGCACACAGAGAGGACCCAGCCATCTGCTTTGGTTCAGAGCCCTGTGTCTGTCTGTCACTCAGCCTCTTTCTCCCGGCTCGCCCTCCATCCTCCTTCCTGCCTCCAGCATGACCCGATTCTCCTATGCGGAGTACTTTTCTCTCTTTCACTCTGGATCTGCACCCTCCAGGTCCTCTGCACCTCCCGAGAGCCCACCGGCCCGTGCCCCCCTGGGCCTGTTCCAAGGGGTCATGCAGAAGTATAGCAGCAGCCTGTTCAAGACCTCACAGATGACGTAAGTGACTCCTGCCTGGCCGCCAGACTGTCAAGCTCACACCTAAAACTGGGGCAGCAGGGAGGGGGGCAAGTCCATAGCCCCCAGGACATTGGATACTATGGACACACCTCCCCAGAAACCCCTTTGTAGCTGTGTCCTCTGGATTCCAATGCTTCTACTGAGCTGAGCTCAGGGGCCACAGACTGAGGTCCTTCAGGGGTGGCATTCAGGTTGTGTTTGGGACTGACCCTTCAGGTGTCCCCAGAGATTGTGACCTGTGCACTTGGGGGAGCTGCATGGGACCCAGCAAGAGGGAGAATGGGGAGATGGCCTTGGAACCCCAGCAGTTTAGAAAAGCTGGGAGAGGGAGCTGAGGGGTTGGCCTTGACTTCTATTTATTCTTGTCTCATGTCTCCCCCATGCCACCTCCAGGGGTTCATCTGAGCACATCTGAAATCCCCACCCACAACACTTCATTTAAGTGCCAGATGCCAACACCCAGAACGAATCTGAGCTGCAGGAGGGGTTCTGTCTGTCTGACCCCGGGCACTAAGCTAATGGGATATGTGGGAAACAGTGCCTTTTCCTGCTCATCTGCTAGAGCAACCATGCAAGCAGCTAAAAGCCAAAAAAGGGGGCTGTGGCTGACACCTCATCTCTGTATGACAGAGGGAGAAGGAGGCAGCTGGCCAAAGTTCTGCCCTCCTTCCTGGGCTCTCTAAACCTGTCAGGCACCACACTGTCCCTGAGACTTTGGGGGGCTGATAAAAGAGTCCCAGTTCTGGTGTCAGTACAACTGGCCCTCCCTTCAAGACTGCCCAAGGAAGACCTGGTGCCCAGAGTCTCCCTTCTCTGCAGGGCATGGTTGGGAGGACAAAGTGACCTTCCAGGGGTCCATCCAACTTGCTAGTACTTGGTAGCTTGATACTCCCAGCATCCTCTTCCCCACTTGGGGGGCGGGGCACAACGACTATGTCTTAATGCATGGGGAAGAAGCTGTGTGTGTGTGTGGTGCTGAGGGCCCCAGGGTCTGTGAACATCACCTAGAGAGACCCACCCTGGGTGCTGGGTCCTGACAGGAAGTAGTCCCATGACTCTGCACAGCAGGTACCCTCCCCGTCACCAAGACCAGACCAGCTGCCCCCCTCCCCTCCACTTCAACTGCATCACATACCCCACAGGGACTCTTCCTGAGGCCATTGGTAGTCGCTCTGGCTGCTCCCAAATAGAACTTACACAGGTGGCTGTGGTGGTGTTGATGGGCCTTCAGGACCTAGCTAGTCAGTCCCCTGTCCTTGTTGGGTCTCCGGCTTCGTTGGCATCTCTGCCCTGATACTATAAATAACCCAGAGGCTGAGAGGCAGGAGGAAGTGCCGCTTGATGGCAGAAGCAGCTGGGAGGGTTGGGACTGGTCTCAGAGACCCTCAGAGTCCCCCCTGACCCGTGCCGTGATACTAGGAGTCTGGAGCACAAGGCCTGCCTCCAGCCTCACCGTCTCCATCTGTGGATGGAGTTGCTTCTGCAGAACCCTCCCCAGAAGTGGATATGGGTGTTACCGCAGTCATGGTCCCCACTGACTCAGCAATGAAGGGGAAGGAGCTCAGTGAATGGATGGAGGAGTGAGTGGATACCTGAACGAAGCGACTTTAATGAGCCGAGTAAAGATGCCCTTCACACTAGCCCTGAAATTGTTTTGACATTTACAAATTATAGTTTGTGATGGTTTCAGTTTATTAATCCTTCAAGTATTGGCATTTCCCAGCAGTTGGGAGTAGGGATAATGGGCTGGATAGAGAGATGGGTAGGGAGGGGACCTCCACAGGTCCATGCCTCTGAGAGTCCTTGCAGTCAGATAGCCCTGTAGGCAGCTGTGCTTGGCACACACTGGAGCACCAACCTTAGGGAAGGCCCGTAACTATCACGGATGCCTCTGTGGCTGTTAGCCATTCCTGGCACTCTGTGCCTGAGTGCTCTTGGTAGAAACAATCTGGGCATGACATTAGCTACAACCATGGAAGGCCACAGGGGTGGAAGGGCTTATCCGGATACTCTTACATCCACTGGAGGGCCAGGAAGGAAGGACCCCAGAGCGGACACTGGCTCCTGACCTCCAGCAGGCCCTGCTTGCCCTCAGGACAGAGGCTACCTGGCCCTACCTGTACCCACGGCTGAGGACTGGCTGTCCCTTGACCTCACAGGGCTGCAGACCCTGTGCTGAAGGCCATCAAGGAAGGTGATGAAGAGGCATTGAAGGTCATGATCAAGGATGGGAAGAATCTTGCAGAAGCCAACAAGGAGGGCTGGCTGCCACTGCACGAGGCTGCCTACTACGGCCAGCTGGGCTGCCTGAAGGTTCTGCAGCGAGGTGAGGGCGGCTGTGGAGGGCCAGCAGGAGGACAGGCCTCTGCCTTGGTGAGGAGAACTAGGTTATTCCTCCCTGGATGGTTAAAAATCACTAAGTTGGTGGAGGGGTGACTGGTTCCCACTGTTTCTCTAGGCCTCCCAGACAGGAGAGCCCCATTCCTAGAAAAGGAAGAGAGGAGAGCTGAGCTCTGGGACAGCCACTGCCAGCTTGTTCCAGAATGTTCCAGGAGCTGATTTGACATGGAAAAAAGCCCTGCAGCTGCGCCTGTACTCTGCTAGTGGGACCCTGGGCTAGCCATGCCTCATCTCTGAGCCCCATCTTCCTGCTGGGCTAGATTCAGATTAATGACACCTACCTATAGGAAGGTGTCCCCTTGGTCATCGAGTGGCCTGGACTCCAAAAAGCTGACCATGCTGTTGCACAAGATGTGATGTTTCTAGCAGTGGCTAAGAGGGCAAAGAAAAAGTAGTCAGTTGAGGGCTAGTGTCTCAACCAGGGAAGGCTTCCCAGAGGAGGTGGCACCTAGCAGCACCTCTACACTCAGGAAATCCCAACAGACCCCTGAAAGGGGAGGTGAAGGAAGTTTGTGACTGGTAGATTTCAGAGGATACCATTTGTTCCACATCCATCCTTGGAACTGGGAGGAAGTCAGAAAACTTATGTTGGGAGAATGGGCACCTCCCTTCTTCATAGACTTCCTGGTGTCCCCTAGCCTACCCAGGGGCCATTGACCAGCGCACACTGCAGGAAGAGACAGCACTGTACCTAGCCACATGCAGGGAACACCTGGACTGCCTCCTGTCGCTGCTGCAGGCGGGGGCGGAGCCTGACATCTCCAACAAGTCCAGAGAGACTCCACTCTACAAAGGTAAGCCCCTGGGCTGGGCATCTCTAGGGAAGCGGAAGTCCAGACGTAAGGTGGACAGCCTGAAGTTTCTCCCATGAATGCATGGCCTCCCGAGGGGCCCACTTTACAGAGTGCAGCCTCCCGAAAGCTGCGTGGTGTGTATAATTGAATCTTTCAGTCATGCATGTGACCACACAACATTTTCCATGTGTTCTTCCCCAGGCCAGCATGCCAAGGGACTCTGAGGACTTAGGGATGAAAAGATGTGACCTATGCTTATGGGCTATCCCAAGCATGGGCACACACTCAGACCACAACCATGCAGAACTTGGCAGGAGGAAAGGTGGGAGCGTGGGGAGGGGTGCCTCATGGAGGGACGCCTGAGCTGAACCCAGACAGAGAGGGATTTGCCAGCTGGCCAAGCTGTGGGAACAGCCTGGGCAAAGGCCAGGAGGTAGGACCAAGAGTGTATCTTTGAGATATTTGTTTAGGCAAAAAAGCCTCCGGCTCACTCAGTACTTGCTCAAGGGCCTGCAGTGGTTATCCTAGTGAGGCCCAGTGTCTATGAACGTCACAATCCCTGGTACCTGTTGAGTGCTTTCTGTGTACCAGGCACAGTGATTTCTTTATGGCCTCATATTCTTCTACATACCCAGTAAGCATTGCTAGTGCCTCATTTTATGAATAAGGACCAAAGGCTTGCCCTCCATGTATCCAGCAAATATAATGTTCTACTGGTGGTAGGAACTGGGGAGCAGGTACCTGTGTTCATATAAGCCTGAGGTACAAATGTCTTCTCAAGGGTAGCAGACAGGATTAAACTAGCTAACTATCAAATCTTGTCAAACCCTCACTGACTGACTTGCTTCTCCCTGGCCTAGCCTGTGAGCGCAAGAACGCAGAGGCAGTGCGGATACTGGTGCGACACAATGCGGACACCAACCACCGCTGCAACCGGGGCTGGACTGCACTGCATGAGTCTGTCTCCCGTAATGACTTGGAGGTCATGGAGATCTTGGTGGGCGGCGGGGCAAAGGTGGAGGCCAAGAACGCCTACGGCATCACCCCCTTGTTTGTGGCTGCCCAGAGCGGGCAGCTGGAGGCTCTGCGGTTCCTGGCCAAGCACGGTGAGTGGCCACAGAGTGCCCTAGGGCACAGTTGGTAATGACCTCAGAGGTCAGCTGGGAGGGAAAAGTGTGTTAGAGTCTTCCGGTGGTCATGCTCTGAGCCAGTCCTTCAGGGCAGTGTTGAGGAGTCTGGGGTTGTGTCTGGGCTTGGTAGAGCCAGTGTCCAGCTTCTTGTGCACCTGAGGTTGTGCACAAACATCTTGCTGTCCCTCCCTAGGCCCAACATCCTCCTTTCACAAATGAGGAATCTCAGGCTGGAAAGAGGAAGTGACTTATCTACCAAATTAGCTGTAGAACTATCTAGATTCTTGGACTCCTGATGCCCCAACCACTACACTTTCTACCACGTCATACTTCTGGGCCAGAAGGAACCTCAGATTGAGATCACATCCTTGTTTTGCAGATGATAAAACCAAGGATCAGGGTGGGAAAGTGGGATTTGTCCAAGATCACAGAGCAAGTTAGTGACAGATCTGGGATTTGAACCCGATCTCTTGCCCCAACTACCTATGACAAATCTTAACAGGAGAAACTAAAACAATACTGCCTGCATCATGATGCCCCAGTAGCAGAAACCCTCCCACCGCAGCCACAACTAAAGAGCTTAGTATTCTGGCCTCCTCCTGTGTCCCCCTGTGATTTCTTTTCTTATGTATGGAAGGGTGGCCTCTCTGGAGCAGGAGAGGCTGAGGCTCTGCAGACCTCAGTGCTGTGCTGGGGTGAGTTGGTAAGGACCTTCTGTGTGTCAGCCCTCCTGCTAAGCATGACCCAGGGCAGGTGGACAGAGCGTGAGCTAGGCAGTCTTATCCCCACTATCAACATGATTAGACTGAGGCTCAGAGAGGTTAAGAGATTGCTCACAATGAGAGGGGGTCTTCTGGATTCTGACCTGTGTCTGCGCACATCTCAGCTGAGGAGACGGATCCTGGGGCCTCTATTCTGAAAAGCAGCCACGTCCTCAGCATCCTCAGCATGTGCTGGGACAGAATGAGGTACTTACTTCCCTGCAGTCAGGGATAAATCTGCACTGACCAGTATGAGAGCACAGGGGCTGAGGCAGAGTCCTGAAGCCCAGGCCAGCAGGCCATGACGAGGGCAAGGGCACAGCAGGTGAGGGCAAGCCCCCAGTTCCAAGCAGCTGTCCTGCCCCCTGCCGACACTGAGGCAGGGACTGCTCCCTTTGCGGGGGGCACTGAGGCCATTTTTCTATATAAATATTTTCCTTGTGCGAGCATGCTGCTTTGCTGGTGAGTCTAGGCCTGCCGGGGAGTCTGACCTTCAGGCCTAGCGGCTTGTCAAAGCTGCCCTTCACCTCTCTCTCTTTGGGGGGAGGGTCAGGGCTAGCCTCTGCCCTGGATTGTGTCTGGATAGACAGCTAGCATCTGCTGAGCAGCCTCTGAGCCTGGCACTGTGCAGGAGCTCTGCGTCTATTATCTTACTTATACCTTGTAGCAACCCTGAGAGGGTGGGGCTATAATTCCTGGTCAACAGGTGGATAACTGAGGCTTCTAAAGGTGACCTAAGACCCCGGAGCTTGGAAGCTGTAGAGTACAAACTTTAGCTTGTCCTTGTGTGTCACCAAGGCCTGTGTTCTTCCCATTAAACCAGAAGTGGGTCCCACCACTGTTGAAACGAAGTGATCAGAACAGTTGAGATAAGCAGGCTCTGTGAGATGGGTTGCATGGTTGAAATGTGCCTTTGAGTTCAGCCCTTACTGAGCTACCTCAGTTCCATCTGCTTCCCTAGTAGGAAGGCTTGAGACTCTTCCCTTTGCAGAGAATTCATGTGCCCGGTGGTTCTCTCCCTCACCCCCAGGCGATGCAGAAGGTGTAGGAGACTGAGCTGAGGGCAGGCTGTCACCAGGCTCTGTTTGCCTTTCCTACCAAGACATCAGAGACATCTTGAGAGGAGAGATGAAGTCATTTCTCTCTTGTTTCTGGTAGAGAACATAACCAATTCAGGGCTGGGGATGTGGCTTAGTTGGTAGAGTGCTTGCTTGGCATGACAGAGCCCTGGGTTCCATTCCTAACACTGTATTACCAGTGTGGTGGCCTGTGTGTGTAATCCCAGCACTCTGGAGGTAGAGGCAGGAGGATCAAAAGATGGAGTCTGAGGCCAGTGTGGGCTACATATGACTGAACCTCAAACCAACCAATCAACCCACCCAATCCAATGAATAATGTCATTGGGATTTTCCTTTTTAAAGAATTTTTTAAATTTACTTCTATTTTATGTGTATGAGTGTTTCGCCTGCATGCATGTGCATGCAAAGCCCGCAGAAGCCCTAAGGGTGTCAGATCCCCTGGAACTCAATTTACAGATGGTTGTTAGCTACCATGTGGGTGCTGGGAACCAAACCCAGGTCCTCTGCAAGAGTAGCCAGTGTTCTAAACTGTTCAGCCATCTTTCCAACCCCTGGAGTTTTTCTTCGAAGAACTCTTTCTAGTGGTAACTGAGGCAGAAGGTAGAGCCTGGGTCCCCTTAGGCACACTGAGGTCAGAGAGGCTGGTTCAAGTTTGACTCCACGTTTATGAGTGGGTGGTCCTGGGTCCTCCCTGCTGTGGTGTTCTGGTCTGTGAGAAGAACTTACAGTAATTTTGACTTTCCAGTGTTCCATTATGGGTTCAGAGAGACAGTGCAGAGAGCAGACAGGGCTAGGCACACAGTGGTTGGCTCAGCAGTGCCTAGCACACTGGGCCACCACATTATGACAAGGCCAATGATCACATGTATCTCTGCTTCTCCCTCTCCAGGTGCTGACATCAATACACAGGCCAGTGACAGTGCGTCGGCCCTCTATGAAGCCTGTAAGAATGAGCACGAGGAGGTGGTGGAGTTCCTGCTCTCCCAGGGCGCAGACGCCAACAAGGCCAACAAGGACGGCCTGCTTCCGCTGCACGTGGCCTCCAAGAAGGGCAACTACAGGTCAGCCCAGGCTCAGCCATCCCCACTGCTCTGCGGAGCTCTCCTGGGATGCCCAGAAAGGGTAGGGTGAGACAGGGCACCTGTTCCAGCCTGTCTCCAGGGGCAGGAAGGCCATCAGTGGTCAGTGTGTAAAGTGCTCTCTCTCCCTGTGAAGGAGGAGGCCATTCAGCTATTTCAGCATGCAGTGACTCTCTGTAACAAACACCATATAAGAGCACACATTGAGGTAGCTCAAACCATTGCTTTACGTGGCCAACCTGCTCTGTCCTCTCAACAGCTTGCGGAAGGTGGGTGCAGAGATGAACTATTATTTTCAGATGAGACTAAGACAAAGAGAGGTTGAGTGACTAGCCCAAGGTCATACAGCTTGTAGGTGGCAGGAATTCACCTGCTCCAAATGACTCAGCTACACCCAGAGAACTGAACTCCTATTTGGCGGTGGGTGCGGGGGAGGGGGTGGGGGATGCAAAGATAACCTGCTGGGTAATTAGCGAGCATGTTGGGAATGCCTACAGCAATACAACCCCCCCATGTACTACATGCTCGGGTGGGGGAGTTTATGTTCTCTGGGCTAAATCTACAAAGAGGGAAGGTACATGCATGCTTGTGCATGCACATTCTCAGTCACACTTATATGCATAACTGTCATGCACAAGCACTCACAGACATAGGCTTGATGGAAAGGGACCATTGTGGGTTAGAAGGAGCTGGCTCATGCAAGCCCATTTCATGCATCTTCCCAGCTCTGTGTTCACCTGCCTCTCTTGGTTTCATAAAACTGAACACCATGAGAGTTTAATATACCACGGAAGTCAGCTTATCCCTGTGCCCCCCACCACCCCATCCACCTGAGAGCTGGTTGTTAAGCACTCAGTACACATTGTGGGTGGGGAAGGATGCTTGACAGGTGTGATGCTGGCTGCCTTAAGGCCTCACTGAAGAGCCATAGTGTGCAGTTCCACCTTGATTGCCTCTCTTACAGAACAAGAAACTGATGCCCAGGTAGCCAAGAGCCTCGTGCCTCAGCAGGCCATTCCCTCAGGGTTAGGACTTATGCCCAACTGCTCTGGTGGTTGCCAGCCTTGACCCCTGGTAGCCTTTCTTTGCATTTTAGACATATTTTCATTGCTTAGTGTTTTCCTTTAAATACGTTTTTCAAAGAAAACATTAACCACAGTGGTGTGGTAGGAAGATAATTTGCAATTACTAGAAAACTTGCAGCTAAAAGCCCATCCCTGTGCCCTGGGTGGCATACTGGAAAACATTCTAATTTCTCAGGCAGTAGAAAGAGAACAGATTGCATTTGTCATCATCACTAAGGGGGGGGAGAGTGACGTCACAGAAAATGAAGTGGAAGCCACAGGAGCCCATCCTGTCCCTTAGGGCTTTCCTGTAGGCTGTCTGCACACATGGCTAGCTTCTGAGGGCTGCCCAGTGAAGGGTTAAATCTGGTTCCCGGCAGCCTTTGCCACCTGGCTGGCCCATGTGTCTTTGCTCACACCCTGGGCATGTGGCATTAGAGGCCCTCCAAAGGCTGGCTTCCTACGGGCTGAACGGGGATTTGATGTGACATTCCATAGGCATTCCAAGTTCAGCCACCTGCCCAAACACTCCCGCTTCACATTGCCTGGAGTGCAGCACTGGAGCCTGCGGCTGTTTGACAGATGTGCCTGCTCTTCAGTGCATTGGAGTCGGGGGATTGGGCATGGCTGAGAGAAGAGCCCTAACATTCCCACACCGTAGTCACCAAGGGGCACGTTTTCTAGTCTTCCATTTCCATTGTGGCACAGGGACCTTATGAATTAAAGACCAACAAATAGCACAGGTGGGCTTTCAAAGAATCTGGTAAACTACACTTAGACAAGGGCAGCCCCAGAGCAGTGGGTGTGTACTAGAACCATGACTATTGAACACCTGAAACCCAGGCCCCACCTTTGACATGTTCATGGAATTGAGCTTGGCTGGGGAGCGGTGCCATGGTTCCTATAAGCTAACAGGAAATACAGACTTGCATTTGAGAGAGGCCTCATGTCTGACCTGCCTTTTAAAGATTTTTATTTCACTTATCTTTTTCTTTTTTTTTTTGAGACAGAGTCTCCTTGTAGCCACAGCTGGCCTGGAACTTGCTATATAGACCAGGCTGGCCTCAATCTCACAGAAATATGCCTGCCTCTGACTCCCAAGTGATGGGATTAAAAGTGTGTGTCAATGCCCAGCTATTTTAAATTATGTGTGTGCGAGTGTGTGTGTGCGAGTGTGTGTGTGTGTGTGTGTGTGTGTGTGTGTGCAGGTGTATGCAGGTGCCCAAGAAACCAGAAAAGGGCATTGGATCCCCCAGAGCTGGAGTTACAGGAGGTTGTAGGGTGTCCAATATGAGTGCCGAGAACCAGGCTCTGGTCCTCAGCAGGAGCAGTATGTGCTGGTCACGGATGAGTCACCTCTCCAGCCCAGACTCACCTGTTAAAATATTATTTTCTTTACAACATGTGACCTGTGAGTGTGTGCATGGCAGTGGGGTTTAGTATGCTGACAGGAGAGCCCCAGATGGGCAACAGTTTCTGGGTGAGAGTCAAGTTCACCATCACGTTGATAGTGGATAGTTGTCAGGGCATTGCAATCCTGTAACTAGGAACCCCTCTGACTTGGCCCAACAGGGCAGGAGCTGCTGTCACCGCATGCTCAGGACACGACAGCCACTTTTTTTTTTTTCCCTCACTGTCTACCATGTGCTTATTAGACTAGGGTATGAGGTACCATTTTGGCCTCAAATTCACTTTGGTGAATTACTGAGGGGCTTGGCCTGAGGTCCCAAGTCCGAGACTGCCCAGCAGTCTGTAAGGCCTGCCCAGATGCTTCAAGGGGTCTTTCAGGCTAAGCTGGGTCTGCTTGGCTTGGGACCTGAGTGCAAAGCTGAACTGGGAGATACAACCCCTGAACTGGGGAGAGAAGGAGCCAGGCATTCCAGACTGTGGGGCCTCTGTGGCAATGGTCATTTTTGTTCCTTTCTACTGGTACATTTGAGTAACACCACACCAGTCCCAACAACTGCCTCTAGTAGAAGTGGGCTAATCCAAGCCTGTTTCTTGGAGTCACCCCCTTACTTCCTGATCTCTATCCCACCAATGGTCTGGCGGGGGGAAGAGACATACAGGAATAGTCTATCCACAGGGGTAAATCCTAATGGTCAGAAGTGGGGGACCTAAGCCAGGCATGGTGGTTTACTCCTGTAATCTCTAGTGCTTAGGAGGGGGAGGCAAGAAGATCAGAAGTTCAAGGTCATTCTCTGCTACATAGAGAGTTTATTTGAGGCCAGCCTGGGCTGCATGAAGCCACCTCTCAAAAAAAATGGGGCACTGTAGAAAGGCCCAGCTCTGGGTGTCCAGGCACCTCCAGCCTGTACTGGTTTTCTGGCAACCTCTATCCAGCCCTGCTTGTTCCCCACCCAAATCCTGGGTCTCTATTTCACCCTCTATAAAATGGGAGTGCTGCCTGTACAGCTCTCAGAGCCCGCCAGCACTGCATGCTGACCCTCACTAACAAAGTCCTAGAGAAGCGAGCAGCGATGCCGTGACTCACTGAGTTGCTGACTTGATGCTCCTGGGACTTAGGGCAAGGACTGTCAGGTTCCCACATTTCTGCTCTGTTCCCTGGTCTGGGCAGGGAATTGTTAGAGACCAGCTGGGGCCTGCCGAGATCTCAGCCTGTGGGCCCTCAGCCCAGCCAGCCCCATCCTGTTCTTTCCCGTGCTTGGGCGCGTCACGGTTATCACGGCTGTTACCCTGCATTTGTTGGTCATGGCGGTGGTCCAGGGGCCCCATCCCTGCCTTTGACCAGCACCTCTACAGAGGAGGTCAGGTCTCTAGAGCCTGCACAAACAGAAATTAGGAGGCAATTAGCTCCCCTGGGTGTGTGAATTTCCTTTTGAGGTTTCAGAGGCAGATTTTAGCCAAACACAGCATCACTAACTACAATAATGCTGTCCTCTGAGACCCCAGCAGGAGGTCGCTGGCATCCAAGTTCCAGGAAGCCAGAGGCAACGAAAGTGCCAGGCAAGAGGCGTGGGAACCAGTCTGGTGGCACCTGCTCTCCCCACCCCCACAGCCACCTCCCTGAAGCCCCCTCACACAAGACTGTGAGGTCACCTGCCAGCAGGACTTGGGCGGATTAGGGGTTGGAATCACGTCAGGGCCAATGTAAGAGCTTGTTCTCATAGGCGGCGGGGGTCCAGGGAAGAAAGCCAAGACAAGGGATCCTGGGGTCGCACCCCAGAGCTATTCTATGACCTCTGATTTGTCACTGGGCCTTTCTGAGCACATCTGTTAAAAAAAGACAGCCACAGCTTGCTCTGGGTACCCCCAAGGCTACAGTGATGGTAAAACGGGCCAGGCAAGTTAATACACTGTGAAAATTGCAAAACCCCATGACATATCAGCTGTCACCTCAATTGCTACACTAGAAGTAGGAGAGTAGTTAAGAGTGTGACCTAAAGAATCAGACAGCTTGGGTTCAAATCCTGACTCTACCACTTCCTGGATGCCTATCCTTGGGGGAAGTCACACACTCTCTCTGGGCTTCCTCATCTGTAAGATGAGGATTTATGCAAGTTCTACCTTAAAGGGGCTCCCTAGGAGAACTGTGTGGATTGAAACAGGCAAAGTGCTGAGCTCAGTGTTCCAGTCAGTAGTCAGGACCCTGGGCTGACCCAGTTCCCCAGTCAAAGGTGGACAGAGGGGTTGGAGAAGCTAGTGCTCACCTTCAGGGGGAAAGATGCATCTTGTCACCAAGGGGAGAAGGGGCCTCACCGGCACAGTGAGCTAATGAGCCTGGGGTGATAGTGGTTGAGACCTAAGTTTGGCCTTTCCTGTCCCAGTATCCTCCCCACCCCCTGCCTCGATGCTCCACCAGATGCCAGAACATTAAGAGAGTTAGAGGGCATACACATCCTGCCTCACCTGTCCTGAGTAAATTCCTTAGCCTTCCTGAGCCTTGATCTCATCTGCAGATTAGGAGTAAGAAGACACTTTTATGGCTCTGGTAGCGATAAAACCAAATTCCTAAGGCTTCCTCCCCTAGGTAGGGAAGGGTCTGGCTTCAGACTTCAGCATCCAACTCTAGGACCTCTTGCAGAGAGTAGCTTGGGGCTTTCACCGGGTGCGTGGGCTTTCCTGCTCCTTTCTGCAGATTACTAGGCTGGAATGAGTCTGTGTGAGATTCTTGAAGTCACAGCCCATCTGGCTAAGGTTTTTTAGAGCTTAGAATTTGAAGATTCAGAGCTCTGGGCTTACTACCCAGCTCAACGCTTTTCTGTCTATATGATTTAGGTGAGGTGGTCCGAACTCCGAGCCTCGGTTTCCTTATCTGTAAAGTGGGGTCCGTAGTGTTGGTCGTGTGCACGGCTGGTTTCTCGGCGACCCCTGCTGGCAGGGCCGCCCAGGTGCCCACCTCCGCCTGACCCACGCGTGTTCCTGCCGCCCACAGGATCGTGCAGATGCTCCTGCCGGTGACCAGCCGCACGCGCGTGCGCCGCAGTGGGATCAGCCCGCTGCACTTGGCTGCGGAGCGCAACCACGACGCGGTGCTGGAGGCGCTGCTGGCCGCGCGCTTCGACGTGAACGCGCCGCTGGCGCCCGAGCGCGCGCGCCTCTATGAGGACCGTCGCAGCTCCGCACTCTACTTCGCTGTGGTCAATAACAACGTGTACGCCACCGAGCTGCTGCTGCTGGCCGGCGCCGACCCCAACTGCGACGTCATCAACCCCCTGCTGGTGGCCATCCGCCACGGCTGCCTGCGCACCATGCAACTGCTGCTGGACCACGGTGCCAACATCGACGCCTACATCGCCACGCACCCCACCGCCTTCCCCGCCACCATCATGTTCGCCATGAAGTGCCTGTCGCTGCTCAAGTTCCTCATGGATCTTGGCTGCAACGGCGAGCCCTGCTTCTCCTGCCTGTATGGCAATGGGCCGCACCCTCCAGCCCCACCACGTTCCAGCCGCTTCCAGGACGCGCCAGGGGACGACAAGGCGCCTGGTGTGGTGCAGGTGCGCCAGAGGAGGACCTCAGATGTCTGCATGGGGGTGGGGGGGCAGGCACAGTGGCAGCTGGTGCGCTGGCCAGAGTGTGGACGGCCCCAGAGGCGGCAGGACAGGGTGATGGGCACACTTCTGAGGCAGTGTGGGTTAGTCACTGATCATCACTTAAGGTGATGGATTTTGGAGAGAGGGAGAATTAGCACACTTTGGAGGGTGTAGAACCAGGGGCCTAACACCTTCAGAAAGTGGACTGGGGGTAGAGGAGCTCTGCAAAAGTTGGGGGCTCATCACCCCTGGAAAACCTACCCCGGCATGTGGTGTGCAGTGGTCAGGAAGCATGCAGCAGGGCAGGCTGGTGTAAGGTCAGGAGAAGCTCCAGAATGCAGGACTAAAAGTCGGCACTGCGTGGTGATGCAAGCCTTTCTGTAATCCTGGGAGGCTGAGGCAGGAGGATTGCCAAGTTCGAGGCCTGTCTGGGTTACAGAGCAAGTTAAAGGCCAGCCTTAACAGCTTAATGAGATTTTGTCTCATAATAAAAAGTAAAAGAAAGGACCAGGGATTAACTGAATCCAGCACTAGTTTAGTACAGGTAAGGCCCCAATTCGATGCTCAATACAACAGAAGTCATTCCTTTAAATGAAAATAAAGAACGAAGCTAGAAACTGGAAACACGTTTCTGTTGAAGGTCATTGTTATGACTAAAAACTGCCTACTATGAGCAAAGGAATTTATGTTCCTATTACCTGAATTCCTAAAAAAAGAATCTTGGAGTGGATGCCATATGCCCAATTCATAGACAAAGAAGTCCAAACTCAGAGAAGTGATGGGACAGCCCAACTTGCCCATTTGCATGTGTCAGAAGCCTGTGCTGAGGGGATGGGATTGGAGAAGGGAACCTAGTCGGGTCTTGGACACATGTTCCACCTTTCTGGCTCACCTGTAAGGGGTATTGTGCTTCTTTTCAGTTCTGTGAATTCTTGTCAGCCCCTGAGGTGAGCCGCTGGGCAGGACCCATCATTGATGTCCTCCTGGACTATGTGGGCAATGTGCAGCTGTGTTCACGGCTGAAGGAACACATTGACAGCTTCGAGGACTGGGCGGTCATCAAGGAGAAGGCAGGTAGGCCTGTGATTGTCACCACTGGCTCATCTTCTGCCCCACACAGAGGTACAGGCCTTAGGGAAGTGTGTCCACTACAAGCACAAGCTGTGCCAGGCCCATACCATGTGTCCATGCCACCCAGGGTGATTGATGAGGATGTCCAGCCTCAGAGAGATCATGTTACTTGAGCCAAAGTCATATAGCTAGGCAGTAGCAGAGCCTGGATTCCAATCCAGACGTGACAAAGTGTTAGTCCCTATTTCAAATCTATTTGAAATGTTCTGGTGCCCCAAGGGAGCTGTGGAGTCTACTGCCCAAATTTTGGGGTCCCTGAGATGCAGAGTGGCAGGGGAAGGGGGGATGGTGGGCTAGGGTATCAGCAACTAATAGAGTGCTGACGAAGCCTTATTCCAAGGGCTGCTCCTGATTCCACAGCTTTGTGTGGGCCGAGAGCCTGCATCCCTACCTGATTCTAGGTACGCCGTAGGACTGTTGTTCTGCCAACCACCTTGGAGCAGCCTGAGTTGACTTTGCAAGGACATGCAGGGCCACCATGAGCAGGGCCTCCCCACCTGAACAGAGAAAGAAGGCAGACTAGTGGCCTACACATTTCCAGCATTCAGATGGGGCAACCTAGCTAGCTCAGGCCCAAGAGGCTAAAAGTTGTCTTTCAGGCCGGTAACACAGAGATGGCCTGCAGTAGGTTGGCACTGTGCCACCACTTGCTTCCCTAGAACCCCAACTCTGATGTGTCCAGTTCCACCCATTGAGCCCTAAACTACAGCAGGATCCACAGCTGGGTGAACAGCCCTCAGCTGATGCTTTTGCAAAGTTAGTGGGCAACAGTAGAGGATTGGTGTCATCTACTTACCTCCCTGGGTCCAGCTCCACGGGTACAATAAACCTTCATTGAACTATTGAATCATTGACTGCTGTCACCATGATCCCTGGCCACTAGAGGGTGGAGTGGCCCATGCCTAGTTGTGGGCCTCATGGGCTCTGTTTCTTGTTCTTGATTTCCTTAGAGAAAGATCACCCTTCACATCTAGGTTCTATCTCAGGGATGCAGACCTTTAGTTAACATTTATGAACAGTCAGCAGGAGCCCAGAGCTAAGGTCTGTGCCTGGGACCACCTGAGAGGTCAAATTCTGACCCCTTTGCTGAGGCTGTGTTTGGGGGTCTGGGCTGTGTATGAAGAGAAGGATAAAGACACAGAGATGGGCGGATGAGTTCTGGGGACATCCTGAGCAAGGCTGACAGCCTCATCTGGGAAGTGGGTTGACACCTCCCTGATGACCTGATGACCTGTGCAGCCCATACGGGCTAAAGGCAGGAAGACATTTCCCAGTCCCAGCTTTGGGGACTGGGATTAGCAGCAGCAGGCTAGACTTAGCCACATCATTGGCTCAACTCACAGGCCACAAACCTGGCTTGGTGCAAGTAACAATGTGCATCTCTCATTTCTGCCTTTTCCTAGAACCCCCGAGACCTCTGGCTCACCTCTGCCGGCTACGGGTTCGGAAGGCCATTGGAAAATACCGAATAAAACTCCTAGACACACTGCCACTCCCGGGCAGACTGATCAGGTACCTGAAATACGAGAACAGCCAGTAACAGCTTAGCAAGGAGGAGTGGCCCTCAGACTGTTTCCAAGATAGCTCAAGATGGTGGTGACCTACATACAAGAGCACCTGGGGACAGAAAGATGCTGCAGTGTGCTGCCTCAGCCAGGCTGCAGCTGTGATCTTGCTGGGTCTCTGTACCAAAGCTCTCACCAGAGCGAGAGCCTGATGTGTGGCATAGGAGAGGAACCACCAGTTTCAAACTGTTGAGTGGACCCCAGACCTGCTTTGCCATTGGGTGTGCCAGAGACCTTCGACCTGGAGCCAGGGCAGATGTGATCTGGGAGAGGCAGGCCCAGTAGGGACCTGGCCTTCAGCTGGAGAACTTATAGGAATGAGTTTGCCCATCAGGGATTACCTTGTCCAGGGCATCCCTGTACTCTTTCCCCTGGGAACCCCCCACTGGACTCTGAACTTTGAGGCTGGGAGGGAGACCCTCAGCCTGAGGGCTTTGTTAAGTACAATAAATGTTGCATACAAACATTCTGTCCCATCAAGTCCTTCCCATCAGACTCTCCAGGCCTGAGGTTCTCAGCCCTGCCTCTGGCAGCAGTAGAGGCTGGACGGGGTGGGAACAGAGCATGCAGACTCCTGAACATGTCACCTTTGCCAGGCTTCTGAAAGACTCAAGAGAGTGTGTCCTTTATGGACCAAGAGAGACCCAGTTGGTTTTCTTCTCCAGGTCCAATCACCATGGAAACAGGAGCTTCATCACTAGAAGGGGGTCCATGCCCACAAGTTCCCTGATATCTGGGGTTGTCTTACACATTTCCTGACCTGCCTGCTCACCTTGTTTTGCTATAGAAGTTGAGCTAGTAAGTAAAACAATCCAGAGCTGGCAGGATGGCTAGGGTCAACCTGATGGAGGCAGCTGGGAGTGCAGGAAATCCTGGCCTCCGTGTTTCAGTGGGGTAGGCCGGGCAGGAGCAGGTATCCTGTTTCTCAGTGGTGCAGGTGACAGCTGAGACTTGACACTGTCACCACCCTTGCTCACTGGTCTTTGGGCCCCAGGAGATGAGACCTAACACATACTGTTTCCATGGTAGTTGGAGGAACTCCTCAGTGTTCTTTCAGCATGGGACTAAAACTGCTGTGAGTGAGGCCAGGCCAGTCTGCAGTCACACCAGAGCAGGTCATCTTGCTGAAAGTCCACACCAAAGTCAAAGGTAGTTTCTGGTCCTCCAAAATGTAAGCCACTGGGCCGGTGAAGAGGCACTGACTCTAGGCCCTGGTCTGGCTTCCTCTTCTGGGACCAGGCAGTTTCTGTTGAATGGCCTTGCTGGCTCTGGCACCCCAAGATTTCACGAAACCGGTAAATCCCAGTGTCTGCAACAAGAGGAAAGGAAAAGTCTTCTAGGCTCAGAGGCGACTCAACAGCATCTTGCCCTTACCAAGGTCCTGATGGAAGGCACTTGTCTGAGCACACACAGCACGACCCTGCAGGTGGATTCCAGCTTTGTGCTTGGCTGTAGTCCCTTGATGTCTTGCTGGAGAAAGTCTAGAAGGAAGTTTTCATCCTTTCTCCTATGAATGCTCAGCCTCAAAGGTACAGAGGACGCTGCTAAGTGTGGTCAGTGCAGGAGACTGAGTGAAAGAAGCCTCTCACTAAACACATTTAACTTCTGAGCAAAAGCAATCAGAAGGAAAGCGGGGTCTGAGTTAAGGCACTAGATCACTAGTCTGTGAACTGTTTGGGTGCCTACCTGGTGGGCTATGACACTGCAAGATCCCCATATAATCTACCAGGTAGCAGCTATACAGCTTCACAAGTGAGAAATCCAGGTGCTGAACCTGATGGGTACCCTGGAGGAGAGGAGGCAGAGGGAGGGGTGGGAGCAGAGCTCAGCCACCACACCGAACACAGTTACCACTCATCCTGTGTCAAGTGCCCTGGCTGGGTAGCACTAGAACTATTTTGTGCTTTCTTCAATCGCTGTCTCTGTCTCCTCACAACTCAGATACAAAGCCTAGCCTGCGGCCTGCTCCAGTGGGTCACTGCTTAGGACCACCCTGAGCTCCATAGTCTCATCACACCTAGAGATGCCTACCTTAGAGATGATACACAGTATCACAAACATGGTCTTGGAAGTCTGATCTCAATTGCATTGGGTGAGCAGGAGTATGCTTGTTCTAGTGGAGGGAACTAGAGACAGATAAGAGTCTCCAGGCTGACTCTAGACTTTTCTCTTTTTCTTTCTTTTTATTTTATTTTTTATTTTGAGGGGGGTTTGATTGTTTTGTTTTATTTTGTTTGTTTTTTGTTTTTTGAGATGAGGTTTCACTATCTAGCCCTGGCTGGTTTGGAACTCACAGAGATCTGCCTGCCTCTGACTGCTGAGTGTTAGAATTAAAGCCATTCCTAACAGTATCAATTTTTATTTTATGTTTATGAATGTTTTGTGTACATGTATGCAAGTGTACCACATGTGTGCAATGCCTTTGGGGGCCAGAAGAGGGCATTAGATGATTGTTAGCCACTATGTGGGTACTGGGAACTGAACCCAGGTCTACTGCAAGAGCAGCCATTGCTCCCAATCACTGAGTCATCTCTCGAGTCCCCTGGCTCCGGGTTTGACTTTGAGCCAACATCAACATAAGTTGGTATTTTCTCCTCCCCCTTCATTTCTTCCCTCCTTTCCATTATTTTATTTATTTATTTATTTATTTATTATTTATTTATTTATTTATTTATTTATTTATTTATTTTATTGGCAATGCTGGGGACCAAGCCCAAGACTTTGTGTATACTAGGCAAGCACTCTATCACTGAGCTACATCTCCAGCCTCACAACTTGCTTTTTGGTTGGGGTGTGTCTGCTGCTGCTACTAAGATTGTTCCCACCCCTCACTCACTCCTCAGCCAATATCAAATCTCCCCAGATTTACAGTGTGTTCCTCCAAGCTGCTTTCCACATGGGGAAGGTTTGGTGCCATGGGCTCCTGTTGGGTCATGCCTTACCAAAGTTTTCTGCTTTTAAATGGAGTCATCTGGCTTTTGAATGAATGGATCTGCAGGTTCTCCTGAGGAAGCTGAGTCCCAGCATGGATAGGCTGGGGTGAGGGCTCAGGCAGGCCTGGACTCAGAGGTACCTGAGATGTGCCTCTGAGGGTTGACTCCTGCTCTCCAGGTGGAGTGATAGGGTGGCTCAGGTACTCAGTGCAGCATGATATATGGCTATTACTGAGCTATCAGCATGCTTACAGGCACCTAAGTGTAAGGGGCAGCTTCTGGGAATACAGGAGACCTGATGCTCATCTGCTCAACAGCTTGGGAAGCAAGTCTTCACCCAATTCTACTTTTTGGGGTGAGGAAATCTTAGCACAAAAAAGTAGCTTGTCCAAGATCATGCAGCAGTAGGTGTCAGGGTTGGATGTGAGTTTTTAACTCCCTGCTGTACAGACTGAAGGAAGCTGAGGCCAGCCCATCACAGTGGGTTCAGGAGGTCTTTGTCCTAATGTTCAGGGGCAAAAGAGGCACATACCTGCTCCTGACCCCTCGATGTTCACCAGGGCCTAAGCTGAGGCCCTGCCCCCTTCCCACATGCCAGAAAATGACTCAGGACAACTCTATAACACATCAGCATCTGTAACTGAAATCTTCTGAGGCCACTGGACAAAGCCTGGGAACACTGCCTGCATCCTCTTGGCCAGTTGCCCCCTCCAGTGGACTCCCAGCTTTGATGGGTCCTGGGGAAAGCAGGCTAGAACAGAAGGGCCCTGTGCAGTCTCTACTCTTAGAGGTTGCATTAGTTAAAGACTGACTCAGAAGCTAAGCGATGAAGCCAGGGCAGAAGAGGTCAATGTACCTGATAGAGTCCCCTGTGCTGAGGGCAGGGATTCACCCAGCACCAGGCTTGGTGTGAAGGTGGTGGTTTGATCAACTGTGTGGCCTAATGACCCAGGAACCCCTCAGCTACATCACTGCCACAACAAAGCATGCCTGGGCCCATGCTCAGGACTCCCCTCCGGTGACTTTGCTGTCTGGGAATTATCAGGACAGGCCCCCCACTACTTGCCCCCAGCACACCCCTCTACTCAGTTACAAGCAGAAGTCTTGTCATTCCGTTGACATGTGCTTGAAACATGACAGTGACTGAGATCAATCAGAAAACTTGGACATGAGTTAGCTAGAGACTGCTACTTAGAAGGGTTTGAGAGTTTGGTGGTTTTGGTTTTATTTTGCCTTGTTTTGGTTTGCCATGGACATATAACAAATGATCCTGCTTCAAAGGGACAGCTTGGTCAAATCACCTATTTTGGCCATAAGGAACTGAAATCCTGTTTGGTCTGGTTTTCCCACTGGCCAGGGTTGGCTCAACCACCTTAGCACAGACCAGACAGAACTATAGATCTACCTCCCCTGGGTCAGAGCATCATGCACCCTTGGGGTCCAGGCCTTGCTCACTCTATCTTCTGACATGTGGACATTTCCCTAAGGGCCTCCCCACATCCCTCCCCACCTCTCTCTTATGAAAACTGAGTCATAGCATCTTCTAGTCCTGGCATCCCTGTAGCCAGTTCCTCTGTATCAGCCCTGGCTGAGTCTGGGATGGTTCCACTTTATGACACCCAAAAGGTAGAAATTGCAAAAGAAATGTTTTTATTCTTTTAACTTTCTCAATATTTACAAAGAACAAAAGAACTGAGAGGCCCCTCCCCGCAGTGGGTGGCAACTGAACAGGTGTGGAACTTGGTGTCTGGGTGGCTGCCAGATTAGGGTCCCACTACCCATGGTCTCCGCAGGGACAGGGAGATAACGGCCTGGACACCAGCCTGCTTGAGTAAGGGATATCTGTGCCTGGCTCCACAGGCTATAAGGACCAAACTGGTGTCTGCCTGAGGAGGCCCCTGCCTGAGGCAGCCCGCCCTCTGACACAAAGAAAAGATGCCCAAGAGACCCTGCCACTGCCTAGCTCCCTTCTGACGCAGAGAACTCATCAGGGACCCCATCCTGAAGGCTGAAGGAGGGGTCGGAGGCCCTCCCAGTCCAGCTAGAGGTAGCCAAAGACATTGAAGATGGGTGGAGGCATGGCTGGCTTGGTGGGAATGGGTTTCAGAACCACAGGTCTGTACACTTTGGGCCCTGGGCCATCCACATCTTTGCAAAAGTGGGCCAGCTCCCCAGGTGAGGCTGGGTTTTTCCGCCACAAGCCCAGGCTGGGTACTGGGCCTTGAGGCAGAACCCCGGGAAGGCCAGAGAAGATGGGCTGTCCATGGTACTGGAAGGGGCAGTAGCCCCAGGCATCAAGGCTGCCTACCAAGGAGATCCCAGGCATCTTGAGTGGCTCCTTGTCAGCCAGTGCCCTAGGGGACATGGGCAACGGGGCAGTCTCAGGACCCAGGGACTCCAGGCCCTTGCAACTTTTCTTACTCTCATACAGAGATGCTTCCCTGGCTCCCAGGCCCACTTCCAGCCCCATTGGGTAGCTGAGGGTGGGCCTTGGCTCCTCCCAAAAGGAAGCGGGTAGCTGTCTCTTCCTCATGGGCACCTGGCCAGGCCTAGCAGCCTCTGGACTTAGTCCCTGGAGGCTCTGCTCCTTAGAAAGGCACTCCTCCCCAAAGGGGGTCCCCAGGGCCTTCTCCTTGCAGCTCCCACCCCCTCCAGGGCTGGAATGGGGACAGGGATGGAGAGGCAGCCGCCCAGGCCGGTCCTCAGGTCCCCTTTGTAGGTGGGTCTCGGTGGCCCTGCCAGGCAGGCCCCGAGGGAGCCTCGAGTACTTCTGGGAGAAGCGCTTGAGCTGCTTCTGCAGGTACTTGCGATGGTCCACGGAGCGGCGGCATGGTGCAGACTTGTCCAAGGCCGCCTTGATGTCACTGGAAGCCAGGTTCACAAAATTCAGCAGCATCTTCACGTCACTGTCGGCTGCCATCACCAGGGGGACTGCGCGGGGCTTTCCATGAAGAGTGTGGGTCCTGCTGGGGGCTGGTAGCTCCGAGGATAGCACGGAGCAGACCTGGGGAACAGAACAGGTAGTTGGAGTCTCTCTAGGGCAGCCACACCCTCCCCAGGGCCACTGGGGACTGGGTGCTTAAAAAGCACTCTGCCAACCTAAATAGCCAGTGGGCCAAGGGACACTTGTAAATCACTCAGCATTTCTTCAACATCTGAGATGGGACAGGTGCCAACTATGTCATGTAGTCTGGGGTTGGACGCCCTCTTCTTGAAAAGTAACTTGCCCGAAGCCACCCAGCTACAAGTAGCATTGCTGGGGTTACTTTCCTAGCTGGTCGCATCTCCCACCTCCTGCATGACCAATGTGCACAACTAGCCATCCAAGTTTTGATTTTCAGAGCCAAAGCAACCGCTCCACTTAAAGAAGGCCAAGCCCCCTTCCCCCTTCCTGGTGGTGGCCTTCCCCTCCCACCACCCCGCCCCCTCCGCGGTCCCCACGCTCCACCCCCAACTCTCGTGCAGGGCCAGGCAGGACCCCTGTCTAGCACTTAATGGAGACCTGCCTCGCGGACTCATCCCAGACTGCAGGCAGGCAGCGGGGACTCCCCTGTGGAAGCATCTGCCGCAATTTCATGCCTCCTCGGCCACCACCCACAGTAGTGCGCCCCTCCCCCAGACTCCAGCCCGCCCAGACCCCCGGCCCAGCCTGGCCGAGCCGCTGGGGCCTCCACACTGACCGAAGGTGCAGGCCGGGCCCCGCCAACGTGGCCGGGCAGGTTCCCCACCGTAGACCGGTAGACCCTCCCTGGCAGGCCCGGCGTGCCGCGAGCTCCGTGCAGGGTGAGGAGCAGTTGTGCAGCCCTTGAGTGGGCTGAATGGAGGACAAGTCCGGAGCTGGGGGGCCCTCAGGCCAATCAGGAGCGCCTCTCCAGATACAAAGCATCCCAATCAGGCGGCGGCGCCCCGGTCCCACATTCTTTGCCGTCACAAATTGTCACCATGGGGACCATCACAAAAAAAGACAGCTCCCAAATGCAATCATTTCCCGGTAAATTTCTACCCTTCAGCCCCACTCTCCCGGCCTCCACGCCCCTCCTCCCCTTGACCTCGGTACCCTGGTTTCTCAAGGGGGTGGTGTGTGTGTGTGTGTGTGTGTGTGTGTGTGTGTGTGTGTGTGAAATGCCAGGGATGAGGGCGGCTGGACGGAGTGCAGACAGGCACCCAAACCTTTCCCAAATACTCCAGGCCTGCAGCTGCCATGCTCCAGTGCAGACAGACAATCAGATGGGGTAAGCCGGGATGGGCTGCTTTCCCTCTGCCCTTGAGTGTTGAGTGTGGACTGTCTCTGTCTTCGTGTCTCTCCCCTCTCCCACCCTCCCTCACTGGAGGAACCCCTGGGATGGGGACCCTGAGGGCATGTGGGGTGGGGAGGTATGCTGATGTGGGGAAAGGTAGCCTAGAAGGGCTGGCTGGCTAAGGGGTGCTGGGATATCCATGGGAAGGGAACCGCAGCTCTCTGGAATCTTGTCTTTATGTTTGCTTCCTCAATTGAGCTGCACAAAGCCTGAATTGCCCATTCAGCGCGGCTGGACAAAAGGGTGGCGTTGCACGGTCCCCTTGCATTTGTAGTCAAACAGTTAGGGACTTAAATCGAGTCGTCATGATGGAGAAAGAGGTGGACAAAGCCCATAGAATTGCCATCAGCAAACATTTTCCTGTGTCATATTAGCCAGTCTCCATGGCTCCCCCTGGCCTGGGGACAATGGCACAAGTTTGCACACTTGGCTACTGTCACCGTGCCAACGCCGGCAGGGCTGCAAGCAGGGCCCACTCACTTGGAGCAAGCAAGGGAACCCAGGCCGTGTTGGGCCTACCCACCAACTGCCCAGAGGGAAGGTGAGGCTGACAGCAACATGGCAAAGAGGGTCGCCTGGGAAGTGCTCATGAGCCAGGCCTCCATGGCACCCAGCTCTGTGCCCCCCACACTCCTCCTCTCCTCCCCTCCTCCCTTTTCACTTTCTGCCACCTTCTCTAGTCCTCCTGTCTGCACACTAGCCCACACCTTCGTCTCATTGCCTAAATGCCAGATGGGTGGGGCTAGGTGACCTCACTCAGGAGTGGTGCCAGGAGACAGTGTTGTGGGGACTAGGTACCTGCCTACAGTGACTTGAGGTTCCCTTCTCTGGAGGGGCTAACCCAGGGCTCCTGAGCTGTGACTCAGACACCCAGAGCCAGTGTGAAGTTCTCTGTGCTTTCCCCTGTGCTGTGGGACCGGGGAAGGATAGACAAGGCTGGGCTGTGACCCCTGTAGTGGCAGCCATCAGTGCTCCTGACAGCTGTCCCCTGCGCAGCAGCTTTGGCATGGTTGAGGGCTGTGTCATCACTGTTTTAAACCCCATGGATTTGAAGGTGTTTTCTGCAGCATCTCCCGACCTACCCTGACCAACATAGGCAGGCACCATCCTTTATGTTCTGAGCACCTGGTGTAGTGTACTACTAATGCACTCTGAGGCTGAGTGGCCAATAGATCAGGCTCCTGCCAGCTCCCCTCAGGGCTCCTGCTGCCTGCACAGAGACGTTATCTGCAGCATCTCAATATCTGGGACTGCTCCCCACCAGCTCCCGCTCTGCTGGGAGACTGCCTCATACACCCTGGCCCCACTCCTACACTGTCAGTCTGCACCCTCCCTGCGCCCTACGGGCCCTGCACCCTGGAATGAGGCTGCTTTCTTCCAAGAGCATCGCTGCTCCCTTCACCTCTCAGCTTCCTATAGGTTCGCATCACGCCTTTCAGCATCTCCTTCTCATGGTCCTGTCTCCACACTTCTCGGCTCACGTGCTCCAGAGACGTCCAACCTTAAAATGTCTTTCCAGGCCAGGAGTTATAGCTCAGTGGTGAAACCCCCACACAACCCTAACCAGCCTTTCCAGAGCTCGTAACGTTGGCTGTCCTACCGAGGCCTGGCAGAGTGGTTTCTTACTGTTTGCTGAATTCAATATTTTATCCATTCCACTAGCATGTATCCCATTGACTGGAAACAGCTGCTTCGTGTCTTGTTTTGTGGTCTGTCTCTGGCCAGGTGAATGCTATAGGGGAGAGAGCTTGGCTTTCAGGTTTGTTCTAGTTTCCAGGGCCCAGAATGGCCAAGGCATGGAGCAGGCATTGGTGAAGGGCATTGGTAGTTACTATGATTATATCCAATGGCTATCTGTGCTTCTCGGGGGGGATGGCACTTAAAGCTGAAGGCACACTCCAGATTGGACTCTGGTGTCCAGCTAGGGGCTCCCAATTAGAGCAACGAGCTCAGGCGATTGGGACTAAACCAGTACAGAGCTGGGGCATCCCCATTGCTAGATCTACTCCCTGTGACCTCTGACCTCAGCAGTAGGGAATCCTACTTGATCCAAGGGTAGAAGGGAACAGGTGTGAAGTCATTCACTCCCCCAGGTGCTAGGATTACTGTCCAACAAAGAGCCATGCAATTGGAGGCAGGACTGACTGGCCCCGTGTGCAGTGAATGACAGATTGCTGCTGGCAGCAAATTCTAGTCCTTGGTTGTCAATTAGGGCTGGCCCTGACTCTCCCCTCTCTGCTAGGCCAATGCCATGTGCTAGTTCACTGTGGCTCTCCTGGTTCACTGTAACTACCCATGCTCTGGGGAGGGAGTACAGCTGACCACCTTGACTTAGGTAACATGCAAAGGCCACGTGGGGCACAGCAACCTGCCAGAACCTTTGATGACACAGGACACACACCACACGGTGACTTATATAACCCCTTACATAACAGAAGCATTTCTATCAAAGTCCAGCTTGCAGCATGTGTCAACCACAATCAGAGCCAACTGGGGACGGGAGCCATGGCGTGTAAGCTCCCTTGGCTACTGGGGATGAGCACATCCTGCCCAACCTCATGGCTAAGGTTGATCCTCCAGTATAAGTGTATCCACAGAGAAACTCCATGGATAGTTATAGCCTGTTGTGGTCAGTCTCTGCAACAACAAAGGCAGCCCTCTGAGTGACCAGGTACCTCTGTTTTCCTGACCACTGACTGGAGGACTGGCTTTGAAGATAACATTCAACTCTGCTTCTCTCTGGTTATGTGACCTTGGACCATCACTCACCATCTCTGGGCCTTGGTCTCCTGATGAATGTCATGAACAATTCTTAGCTGCTGAGTGGCAGAGAGAGATGCATGTAGGGGTTGGAGTGTTATTAGTTGATGGTCACTTAGGAGTCCCAAACTTGGCAAATGCATTGGTTTCTCCTAATACAGATCAGGGCATATTTAACTTCAATTGCTTGCCTGGGTATGATGAGGGATCAGAGCTGGGGAATTTGAGGACAGAAGGCTCCAGGCACAGGTGGCAGAGCAGGCATTGTCTGCCTCCTGGTCTTGGAGGAATCAGTTGGACTGTCATAAGTTGGATAGCATATGGACCGGGCTGCTACCCCTGCTCCAGTGAGGCACAGACCATGAGATTTGCCTCACAATGATGAGTAAGGCTGACATCCAGCCCACACTGACTGTGATAGGTTTATAACTCCTCATCATGGCAATGAACTGTGTCTCAGATTCCTCACCATTAAGGTAAAGGAATCTAAGTCCCTGGCAGGGTTGATACAAGGATAAAGAGTCCACAAAAATTAAAGAGCAGGTTGTCTGGTGGGTAGCCAACACCCTTCCCAACCCTCTGCTACTCCACTGAGCTAGATCTAGTTTCCCCTGGTAAAGAGGGGCTGGTGTGGCACAAACAGCATGACAGTTGTGGCTCTGTGCCCCCATGGGTAGCCCAATTGGACTCTCCACCCACTCCTGCCACTGCCCTGTGCCTTTCCCCAGACCCACCACAGACCTTTCACCGCCCTGTGCCTTTCCCCAGACCCACCACAGACCGTTCACCTTGACCGTGTCCTCTCCTGCCCTTCTGACACTTCGTCCTGCCCAACGAGGGCACCAGCCAGTAATGAAAAGTCGGTTTATTCTCAACTGTCAATTCGGATTTGATTGGTGATGCCTCCAAGGGGCCTTGTGGGAAGATTCCAAGGCCAGCATGGCTCTGAATTTGGAATGCTCTGATCAGCTAGTGATGTCTGCCCTGAGGGTGGATGGAGATGAGGCTCTGAATGCCAGGTCTCTGAGCCAGTGTGGAGATCACAGAATACAAACCTTGGTGTTGCAGTAATCTAATCCCTGTGATTTTTAATCAAGCAAACAGAGCCTTAGAGAAGGGCAGTGACTTATCCAAGCCACATATTCCTTTAACCAGGACTCATGTCTCTACCTCCCAGGGGAACATTCATCAGTTCAACTCAACAGACATTTGTTTTTCTTAAGATAGGGTTTCACTCTACAGTCCAGGCTGATCTGGAACATGTGATCCTCCTTCCTCAGTCTCCCAAGGGCTAGGATTATAGGCTCCATCACCTTGTCTAGCTACAAACAATTATTAACAAGCTTCAACACCAGGCCAACCATTAACCACAGTAGGTGTCTTATACGTCTAACCATATTTTATTCTCAAAACAATCCTCTGTGATGGATCCCAGTATTGCCCAACCCTTGGCAGAGGAGAATACCAAGACTCAAGGCGGTTAAGTGACTTAACAGCTAAGATACAGGTTCAAAGCCTTTCCTGGCTTGAGACCCTGGGATCTTTCTAACACACTGCTTTGTGTGTAGTATGCAACAGCAGTTGTAGCCTAGAAGAAGACTCTGAGACACAGAGGGTTGGCACTCTGGGGACTGGAGACAAGAGTTCACCATGCAGAGGTGGGGTGACTGCAGCGGTAAAGTGATAAAAGTTTAGAAAGAAATGCTGAATCCCTCCTACATTTTTGCATGCAATGTGGACTCTGCTTGAAGGGGAGACAGCGGCCTGCATCCAAGCACCGAATGTGCACTGGGAAAAAAAAATCAACTG